CTATTTAATTTATACTAAGTCAATTTTTTTCGAAAACTTTTGTACTAACGAGTAAACAGAAGTGTCACAAACAATATTATTTGACAGTTCAAGCAACGAAGCAGCTTTCATGGCTTGCTATTATTTTTTGCTTTCGATATTTGAATATCTGGTATCTGAACCTTTAGCTGTAAATATCTTTCAAAGTTCATTATGTAATTAAGTAATTTTTTCACATAGAGATACTAAAAAAACTACGCTCTTTCAGAATATGTAAAAAAAAAATACAGTGTGTCATTTAAACTTTTGAACCGGGGGTGGCTGGGGGCGGCAGATATCACGTTGGAGTGGTATCTTATTAACTATTAATTTACCCCCTACTTCCTTAATGACCTTCCAAAAGTCGATATATTTTAAAACACCAGAAATAATTCCATTTAAAGTTTTCGTGCGGACACCCGGTATATTAAAATACTTGAAGTTTCCTGAAAATAAAAAAATCTCTCACAACGGGAATAAGCACTCTCTGTGATCGGTAAAACATCCCCGTAGAATTCACAAATATAATTATGTAGCTACGGCTACGACGCGCGCACCGTGTTCAGTTACTTCAGTTAAATTCGAGGGCCTGGGAGAACAATAATTTTTGGCTGGCACGCTTATGATTTTCTCTAGTTCGTTTAAGACTGGAGCTGACGATTCGAGCAGATTGTTGACGCGAAGTCAACATTATTCTCACGTAAATTTATCTGTTCATCCTTTTTCGAACATTGTGAGTCGTTCAGACACTGCAGCTCAAGCGAGCCTATTACTTACTCTTAAAACAAGACGAAGGTTCTTGAGGATCAGTAGACAATCAGGATTTTGTTTATTTGTACTTTTTTGTAACGATTTGTAGTTAGAATTCAGACCTGGGATCAATAGAGAAGAGCAATAAAAAGGAAAACCTAATAACAGGTGAAAAGAGGGCAAGGAAATAAAAATTATTAAAAAAATTAAGAAAAGACCGCAAGAATGAATTTTTTAAACACTTACAGACGAATATATCTACAAATTATACAAAATAAACTTAACCAGTGATCCTTCTTTGAGATGCTGTATATAAATATTAAAGTTTCCGAGAGGTTATTTTCCTTGTAAAAAGCAAAAACTTCTTTCACATCTTGTGAACGCGGGTTTGAAGTAATTTTAATCAAGTGTTAACGCTTGAGACGTTCCAGGAAACGGACCCAATTATTTTTCTTCGTCTCGCCTTTAATTATCCCTTCTACGAAATTCATTATAGTGTTTACACAGCGCTTTGTTTTACGAAATTTTGATTTTATTTTTTTCCACAAATAAAGCGGCCGTCAGCTACACGCGACTTTTTTCGCATGTATAAATTAGTATTTTGAATTTAAAATTATTCGTGTTAATCCTTAACTTTTTGTGAGAAATTGTTTATACATGTTTGTCTTTACTTCAAAATTTCAGTATGTAAAACATCTAATTCCTTCATTATATAAGGTAAGTGAATCCACAGTATGCCTTGTTTACCTAGCGTTACCTTCATTTATCCAACTTTAATAAACTTTAATTACCAAAGTTCCCAACGCAAAGCCTAGCTACCAACTAGCTAATTCAGTTTACACTTTGTATAAAATATTTTAATAAGGCTTCAAAGTTAGCCATGCTTTTGCTGAAACTTGGAACCTTTGCTGTTTTAATACAATAGATGCATGAATAACTTTTTAATAAAAACATACTTCGAAAGCACCATTGCATTTTTGGCGACTTAAATGATCTCTGGTAGTGTGTCATTGTTGTGGGAGTGTAAAAACAGGAAGAAATGGAAAAATGAAAAAGTGAAATATTATTCTGTATTGTTTAGATCAGTGATTCACTTTTAACGATTTCAGAAGTTGACGGCACACAAAGAAAAAGATAAGTTTAAAAATTATTTACTTACCTATAACACACTGCGTAAAATTTTAAATGTGCTAAAAAAAATAATATGTACTTCAAATAACAGTACGTTCATTCCTAGACAAAAATAAAGTTCTATCGAAAATACAATTTGGATTCATAAAAAAATCCAGTACTGAAGATGGCGACATTAAATCTACTTGAACCCATAGTCCGCGCCTTGGATAGATCAAGTAAATGCCTAGCGGTTTTCCTTGATCTGGCAAAAGCCTTCGATACGGTTCCTCACTCTGATCTCTTAATCAGAATGAGTAACTATGGCATTAGAGGTACAGGACTTGATTTACTTAGAAATTATTTAACAGATAGAACCCAAAAAGTAAAAATAGGGGATACATTAAGTGCCGCTTCAATAGTACAAATAGGAATACCGCAGGGGACAGTATTGGGTCCAATTCTATTTTTAATTTACATAAATAGCATCTCCAACATAAATCATTTTAAAGGAAAACTTGTATGTTATGCTGATGACACTGCCCTTGTAGTGACTGGGACATCTTGGGATGAAGTAAAATTAAATACAGAAGCTTGCTTAAAAAAAATAAACATTTATCTAGATTATAGTTTATTGACTCTAAACATTGAAAAAACAAAATATATTACTTTTTCTCCTACTACAGCTGATCAACCTATAATAGACGTTAAACTACAAAAACTCGGTGTCGGCACGATTGATCTCGCTAAGTCACCGGCGGCCATGTTCGAATTATAGAAATCAGGCCCGCATTTTGATAATTATGTTACCAATGGGAAGATCCGTACTCAAGAAATTTATTTTGGTAAGGATGTGGTGTGTTTTGAATTTAATTTAATTTTTTAATTTGAATTATAACTAAAATCAGCTTCTGTACATATGGTAGGTTGTACACCTGAAATTAAAATTTAAATATAAATTTATTGCAAATTAAAAACAAGTAAGGACATACTGCATTCTTATTAAAGAGTTCACAAAATATTTATGAAACTATACTTCTATGAATTCTGATGTAGTTATTTTGCAAAAATATTTACTAGATTATAATTTAATGCAAAATACTTATATACAGTGTGACTTGAAAGTAGGCATCATATATGGGAAACTGTTTTATTATTGATGAACGTTTGTGCATTCTCATAAAACTAAAAATGCAATCATACTAGATGTAACTGTCCCATCTTGGAAAAAACAGTAGCAATAAAATATTTAGGTGTAATGATTGACCAGCACATAAGATGGAACGAACACGTTACTTACGTTACAAAACGCTTAAGAGTCTTGTTTACCAAATTTTATAACATTAGAGATATTCTTTCAAAAAACAATTTACTTATGATTTATAATTCGTTTTCCGAATCAATTTTAAGGTATTGTATAACGATATGGGGTGGTACTTTTAAAAGTACGTTACAAAATCTGCAAACTACATTAAATACATTAATTAAAATATTATTTAAAAAGGATAGACTATATTCAACTCAACTACTATATCAAGAATTAAACATTTTTACTTTAAGACAATTATATACATATCAGTGTCTTCAAAGGGTATACAGAGATCAGGATAAACTACACAAGGTTTCATCAAAAACCAGAGCAACTACAAATTTAAATTTGAATGTAGACCTATTTCAAAAAACGGTAACACAAAGATCTTTCTTTTATTTTGGCCCCAAATTGTTTAATCTTCTCCCTTTATCAACGAAACAAATAACTAAATTAACTAAATTTAAAACTGAAATCAAGGAATTGATCCAAACTTCCCCAGATATGTTTGAAATATTTTAAATAAAACTGAAAATAACGTACATTATTTCTGGTGTCTTTTCAAGTATTTTTTAGAATTATTTAGCGTTAACTTCTGTTTAACTATACTACAGGAGAAAGTTTTAAACCTATCTCACTTTTTGGACCTGTCTTGCTTTAGTTTCCTATTACTCCTATTACTGAGTCGTTCTTTCTTTTTAATTTTTTTTTGTACTTTTAAAACAATTTATTATTGTATTTTTTTTATGGAAGGGATCACACAAGACAGGCATATATGCCTAGGTACGATCCCCTCCATGGATTAAAAAAAAAAAAAAAAAAAAAAACTTGTAATCTGGTACGTAATATATTTGATTTGATTAAGGGATTAAAAAACAAGTTAATAATAAGAATACTTTTAATGCGAAATTTGAGTTTGATGTTTTTTGATAATTTCATTTATATTTGGTCGTAAAAATGACAATGCTACTCTCGCCTGTGGTCCTCCGACCTTATAACACTCTTCTCTCCTTGATATATACAGCACAAGTCTCTATATTTATGGTTCGGTATCTTGATTGGGCCTGTATTTAATTTAGGAACTGGATTCTTAAGAGAACTGAATTGTATTTGGCTTCAGTTTCGTAACTAGCAGCTCATATACCTTTGTCCGGTCGACGGTGTCACTGGAATTGTCACATTTTCGAATGGTCAGGATTCGTAGATTTTTAGACAGTTCCTTGAAAGCTAGAAACTTTTCAGGATTCATATCTTCTACATTGTAAGGGTGTTTGCATCTAGCCAGTCTTATTATACTTGTTAATTGTGAGGGTATAAAAATATCTCCCGCTCCTTTAACGGCATATATATCCTATGGCACTCTGTGCACTATCCCCTTCAAAAAACGTGATACGAATCTCATTTAATGTAGTGCTATTATTTTTTATGCAATAAAGCATCATTGTGGGTAAAATTGTATTTTTGTTTTGGCTAGCACAGCCATCGCAATGTAAGTGAATAACACTTTTGTTTTGGGATTCAAATTTTTTTTATAGAAGTGTAAACGCAAGTGGCAACCTCAGATGACCCTCTTTTGCTAATTGCCTTGTGCCACAAATAGCAATCACAGTCTCTAGATGCTATATCATATACAGTGAAGTTGTAAACTGACAACCTTCTTTTGTAGAATATAGCACTCTCCTTTGATATTGGAAGTGAAAAAACTTGTTGCAAGTTGAAAACAGCACAAGCATACTTTGAGTTTGATTGCTGAGCCATTTGTTTACTTTCATCTTTCATTTTTCTAACTTTATTTTTTCTAACGATGTGTGATTTATATTCTAGTGATAACTCCTTTTTTTTCTTCATCGCCATTATTATATGACATACAAAGGCTGCATTGATCCTTTTTGGGTCGGTGAAAGGATAGGTTCATAGATTTGAATACTTTGCGGTACACAGAATAAGCTCCTTTCATTAGGGGTCCTGATTCATCTGCTAGACACATGGAAAACATCTTTAGTAGACTAAGATTTTTATGTAGATATTCACGAGTTGAATTTTGACGGCAATAATGAGATTCAACTCTTCCAAATTTATTTATGTGTTCGGTAATTCCATTAATTAATTGAAGGTTTCTATCGACTTGTGACTTATACCTTCCTCCTCTCTGTTCTTTTTCTATAATTCCAGTTGTACTTTTCTTTGATAATGTTGTACTTATAGTCTTTGCTGTCGTTGTCAGAGTATTAATAAAAAATGTTTTATAAACTGGTAGTTCGTCGCCGTCTAACGGAAGAAAGTAATAATTTCTTTTATTTCTTCGAGATACCTCTTTTTGTGTAGTTTTTTGTTTGATTTCTTCCATTTTGATGTACCTTGCAATGTACTCTCTTTGTAATTGCAAGGATCCCATAGAATAAAAATCTTGCATAATCTCTTGTCTTTTACCATCACTGAAGAGACTACATTTTTTATTACGTTTTGAACATGATTCCTCATTGCATTGAGGTCCCATTGTTTTGGTGACATGACGTTCATTGTTTTCGGTCTTACATAACACTATCCTTTGTTCTTTAGTTCTTTGGCTAATTTATATGAATTTATTTTCCTGACTTTTTTAAATGAAACTTCTCTTGGAGATCCCTCGACTGGAAACAAGCTCTCCGGATTGTAATCTTGGTGTGAGCGGCAGTTATTATCTGCTTCAAAGTGTTCAAAACAGAGTAAGACTTTTAAGCAGATTCAAGCACTATATATTTCAACTGTACAGTTTGAGTGTTCACAGATCTTTTTGTTGCTATCTTCATTACCTAAGTTAGCTGCTTCATTTGCCTTCGGGCTTCTTTTATTTATCTTTCTAGACGTTTTCTCTAATTCTTTATTTGTCCAATTTTCTAGACTAAATAAGTGACGCCGACATAGATCATGATTATTACAAACAACTTTTTTTGCAAAGTAATGCACTACCCACTACCCTTGTTAATGCCTTTGTTTTTACATTTTCTCGCGGTACATTTATAAACAAAATCTGGGTATTCATCACTGTAATCTCCAAATAGTGAGTCTACACTTTCACTATTGGATTGAGTATACTTTCGTTTTTTAGCTTCTCTTGTTATCGGCCGTCTCAAAAGTGTGTTTAGTACTAGTTTTTAACAATGGGAGGAATATTATCATCAGAGCCACATTCGCTTAAAGGAGATTTTGATAAGCCAACTTCCTCCTGGCTATTATTATCAGAGCTGTTGTACTGTGCGTCACTATCATCATCATCATTTTCTGTAGCAACTATTATTCCATAGTAGAATTTTCCACCATAGTCCATTTTTCTTTTTATTGTTTTCGAAACGGTTTGGTCCATCAATAACAAACAATTCTTTAATTGCAACAACATTTTCTGGTCCATCTTCACATTCAATTAAAACATCCATGATTATTAATTAGTTATCTGAAATAAATAATAATAAAATATTTTTTTCTCCTTGATGAGTGCTCCGCTAAATAGTATATTGTATTCCTAGGCAGTAAAGTGCTTTTTCAGGCCTCAAGAAGTGGCCAGGCTCGGCACAGTGGTTTACACATAATTTTTTATCCTACACAATAATTGTTTTCAAAAACTATTTGAAAAGAATAAATTGTTTTCCACCGATAACTTTTACAATGAAACAAAAATTATAAACATAAGATTACTTTTTACTCTTCAGTGTTTGATAAGAATACATAACTCTACAGACTCTACTGAAAAATATTAATTTAAAAATACACGTAAAACACGAGCTGCTACTAATATGGAACTCTGTGTCCCTCTCTTTAAAAAAGCAGTAACTCAACGAGAAACAAGGGTTTAGATAGTTAGATAGTCAAGATATACGAGTAACTTTAGCAGGAATATTGGGTGTTTTCTGAATAAAGAAACCATTGAATCGAGACGATGATTGGGAAAGGTCGCTTAATTAGCTTTAATAATATTTAATTACTTTAAAACCAAATATATTGATACATAGATAAATCCATAGATCATTTTAGATTGTACTATGAAAATCCTATTTAGGTATCAATAAGGTATTAATAGTAGAGCTCTTCAATTATATACAGCTTTGTCCCAATTAATCGCCACACTACGGATTTGAAGCGTTGTTTAAGCCTTTATCACACCTTGAACAATCAAAAACTCTTTTTAGTTCAGGAGCCACCTCTATTTCGAAACCAACTATTTTTCAGTTTATTTTTAAATAGGTGAAATTGTGAAGCAAAAATGCCTTGATATGTATATTAAATGGGTATATATGTACATATACGTATCTTTAGTTTTACTGTTAACTTCAGTTTGTATAAAATATACTGCTTTAATGGTTTGAGCTCCCGGACTATCATGCACACCTTTTACCAATCATTTTGTTGCCTCCGCTATCAGCGCTGAACAAGTGACGAAGCTTAAGTAAACAGAAGCTCCATTGGCCGTCGCTGTTCATTGAAATACCGGAAATTTCTAACAGTTTGTATAGATAACAAAGCATATATGCGCAGGTGCTATCGATTTTCTAAACCGCATCAATGTTTAATAAAAAAAAATAACGGCTTATAGTCTATTATGCATTGTTTGGTCATCAAAATTTAATCCTTTATACGAGGTGATTTCTAGGTTGATAATTAAAGACCTTTACTTCAAAAGGGTGTAAGTGCCAAAATTTAAAAACTATACATTTCTACATAAAAAGGTTCAATATACTATAACGATAGTCTAATTTATTTATAGAGTATTTATTTAAAACACACTATTTACAATTTATTTAAGACGTACTAATTAATTTATATAATACTTAGACACTAACTAACAATTCTAATTTATTTATTACATTTTAACTTTTCATTCCATAATTCTACACTAAACTGTCTATAATCCACTGACTTCCGTCCTCACACTCGCGATATTTCTATCAAGCCAACTCTGTAACTAGAATACTCGAGACGGTGTTTCTCGAAGCGTCAGCTGCAAACCTAGAAGATTCCGTCGTTTCTTGTATATTCGAGACGTGGTCCGACTGTCTTCACACGTCAGCGTTGCGTCGATCATGAATCGAGTGGCAGACTTCCAAGGTCGCGCTTACACAGGGTAGGCTTTAGGAATTTCATGACAATACCAACTCTAACGGTATATAAATGGTTCTAAGTGCATTTTAAAAGAAATACATTTTTTGTAGTGAAATAAACTCATGGCAAATGTGTAAGTGCGTATATGATGTATACAATTTCTATTTTACTTATAACTTTTTTCCATGTTTTTGGCACTTAGGCCGTTTTGAAGTTATGCTCTTCAATATTTTAACCGCGTACGTATGGTAGAAGTCGTTCAAATAAAAATTTTCAAATTTCTTTTCAAAAAATTAAAAAGAAACTGTAGGTTAGTCGAAATGATCCAGTTGTGTGGCTATTGAGGCTTGTGATATTTTCCTTTTGATTTTTCTAAGCTATTTGATGACTTTAATGACATCTTTAGCAGTGGCAAAGTCTCAGAAATACCCCAAGTCAATTCGCTTTTTTTATTGTTTAAATGTAAAATGGATGAAACAAAAAGTTACTAGATTTTGACACGTCGGTAGATTAATTACATCATGTAATTATGTCAGGTGGCAGTTATCAAAATAATTTTTAATTTGTCAATTTGTTAAACATTTATATATTTTGATATTTCAAAAGTATTCCACAAAATGATGAAATGATTTAGTGATAAATCAAAAACTTTAATACTAAACGTAGTTTCCTATTTTAAGAAACACAAATCTACTTTCGAGGCTCTTGAAAAGAGGTACAAGCAAATAGCTGCAGATTCATTAAATATTTTGCATAAAACTTATCTATAGACTTAGTAAACCAACAAATTTTGATAATGTCTATAAAAGTAAGCTAAAGTAAAACAAAAGTCAATTCTTTAATATTAAGTAAGTTAAGGCAAGTTATTGTAACGAAAAATTATGTAACTGGCCCCACGTTGGGCGCCAATTATGTAACGAAAAATTATTTAACGAAAAAAATCTCGTTGGTGCCAATTTGCCAAAAATGAGAGAAAACGGATGTTATGCTGCCAAAAGGGCTGATCCAAATAATAAAACTAAATAAATTAATAAACGTATTTGACACCTTACCTTTAATATTGACATCGAAGATCAAAGGCGAACGGCACACATATAGCAAAGGCACAAATTAACAGCGGTAGCAAGCCAACTGACTACGTCGTTGGCGGTTGGTTCTTCGAAAAGGTCCAAAGCATGAACCGTTTAGGTGGATCAAAGTCTCAAAAATAGATAACTTAATCACCCTCGGCCTAGATCATTAGGGTCGGTGAATTCGAGTTTAGAATTTACTAACAAACCAATTAAAAAGACAAGAAAGTGTTCTTTTAATGGTTAAGTGCGCCTTGTATTTGATGGTCAATAAATACAAATTATGCCAATAATTTGCTAGTTGAAAGTAAGGAATACTTTCAAAGAGTTAAATTAAAATATAGTGACTTTAATGTTACTGTTAAACAACTTGACAATTTTAAAAATTATCAAATATTAAAACAAACAAATGGTTAAATCGAATGAAATTGATTAATAATTTAACAAATAAGGAAAAACGTGAAAATGTTCGGATTACTGATAGACACTGCCTCGGGTTGACGGTCGAGGAGTTACAGCTTTAACTGGGCCTTTGATGAAAAGATACTACTGCTGGACACCATACAGCATCAGGGTTACGGCTTGTGCTCGGTATCTCGTATTTCCTCATGGTAGCCTCTTAAATTTATCGTATCCTAATTTATGGAAAGTATCGCCTTTGCTGTTTCTTTTGTTATGTAAGCCGGTACCCTCTTTCATGATAAAGAAAAAAACACGGTGTCAGTCACTTATATAAAAAAATTGTCCATCTCTTAACTTGTGTTACACAAAAAGAAAGTACAAAATAATTACATTTATTATAGAACAATTATTAACATTGCAGCGATTGATTACGATTCGCAACAGTATTCAATTAAATTGTTAAAAGATGGAAAAACAAATCTAAATATATAAAAAAAAACTAAAAATGGTCGATTTTCATGGCATATCGTATGAAAAACGAAAGAGCATTTTAACGTTAATCAACCTAAAATAATTCGTGGAACTCACGCAATAGTCTACAAACGAAATGTTGAACCTCTAATCACTTATCAAGCAATTCTAAATAACCAAATAATTATTTTTCGTCATCGAGCACACATTCACAAAACAAGAAAATGGATCGTTCAACAAACAACAAAAAGAAAGAATATTCCGGAAAGTGCTTGTGTTAGATTTTATCGTCAGACCGCGCAAGACCCAAATCATTCATTTTAATGTTCGACGGGTGGCCTTGAAATACACAGTGGCATGACGAAATATTTTACCCAAAAGAGTATAATTATTAAATGTAGATAATATTGTGGAAATAAAACTGAAACGTTATTTATAACTTTACATTATATATAAGATGTATGAAGGTGCGCGACATGTA